CCAAGATTTCAGCGTTCTAGCTTCTCAGATCCTCGAGTTATGAGCTGACCCCAAAAAAACTTTGGGAGGCCCGTAAGCGGGTACCACGCGGATTTTGGCGCCCATTTTGGGGGTGGGGGGTACGTGCATGCAGATTAAGTTCCCGAAATTTCAGCCCCACAGCTTTTATAGGTCCTGAAATGAAAGTGCGTGACAAACGCACGCACAGACACGCAGACGCACAGACATACAGACAGCCTCTCGTCAATATGCGTTTTTCGCGTTGCATTGCTGCAAAAAACGCATAACTAGGGCATGAGTTGGGCCTTGGCCTTCGGCGGGTGAGTGATGTGCAGCGCAGTGTACTATAAGGAATCAGGTAGCGATGGCGCACTGGAAGATTGGTGAAGTTGTGATAGCCGATTCGTAGCTGCAGCAGTACGTGTAGCATTTCATCGTAATTTTTAAAAAGCACATGAGAGACCGACTTTCACGCTGATAGTCTTGCGCTCTTCGGGATGGTGACCAAGATGCAGTGGTTAGCCGGGGGGCAGCGCGTTTAGTCTCAGTAGTCGCCTGATGTCTCGTGGTGGATGGAAACTCGAATTTAATTCATTCCAGTCCGAAACTATAAATTTCGCGACAGTGAGCATGTGGTTGCGGATAATCATTCAGTTAAGATTGGGAGCTGTTTCCAGATCGTTCGTCCTCCAACGTCCATCAGATTTTGGCTGAAACTGTTTGCATTTGCCTGGCACCGAGCTGCGCAATTGCATAGATTGGATGGTAAATATAGCTTGAAGTTTCGGTGTTTTCAGAATGCTACCAAGCGGCGCACGACTGGCTGTTGCCTTACTAAGACGGTATCAATCGCTACTGTTAAGGTCTGAAATGGCAAAGACCTCCGGAAGCGCTCAGACGGAGGCTCGCATAAATGGTGAAGACGACCAGAGGCCAATATGCTTTGAGACTGGTCATATAGCACGTTTGGCTGATGGTGCAGCTGTTGTTTCGCAGGGAGATACTGTCGTATGTTAGCGTTTTGCATGCGCTTGAAAACCGTTTATGTTCGGCAAATAGGGTGTTATTCGAATCTTGCTTGCCTGGCAAGTAGAAGCGCAGGCCAATCACAGTTGCTTAACCAGTAGGGATGTTAAAGTAAAG